AGGAGCCTCAGCCCTACCCTGTCTGAGCCAGCTGTGTTGACTTAGTACAACCGAAGGAAGCTACTTCCTCTGCCTCAGGGGGGAGGCAGCTGGGCCTGACTCCCAGTTTACCCTGAGGATTACAAGAGATAATGCAAGGATGGCCTTGTAACACGGATGTGCAAACAGAAGGCTTGGTAGTTGGCTGTCAAGTCACACTTAGACATTGAAGGTGTTTGAGCAACATGCAGAAAGGTTCACACATCCTTGTTTTGTTAGATCCGAAGTGAATATTTGTTTAATTTGTGGTAAGGTCTCTTTTATCCCAGCCTCTGTTGGCAAAGATGACCTTGAACTTTATGTATGTTTGTGTGAGTGTGTACGTGTGTGCGTATGCATATGTGTGTGTTTGTGTGTGTGTGCATATGCATATGGGTGTGTTTGTAGATGTGTGTGTATCTGTGTACATATGGGTATGCGTGTGTTTGTGGGTGTGTATGTGTGGGTGTGTGTCTATGTGTGTGCACATGCTTGTGTATGTGTGTGTGTGAGTGACACAAATGCTGACCCCCATACATGAGAAGAGCCCAAGAAAATTCCCTTGAGAATAGATCAAGAAACGGGATAAAGGAGAGGTGATAGCTCCTCAGACTGAAAAAGCTCTGAATGCTGTGAACTTATTTCTGCTTATGGTATCTATGGCAACTATGCAGGTAACAAGGCTCACAGTTTTATATCTAACTCTCTGACTATGAGAGGGGTAAGCTGAGGAGCCATGAATGGCTCCACAATGAATTGTTTTCGAGACCTCATGCGCAGGACTTATTGCCACCTGCTCATCTGGTATAGGTAGGAGTTTATAACACCCTATCACAGTTTAGTTATCCAGACTGACTTACAGATGTCCATCACCTGCTCCAGCCGAGAGCAGAGAACCATCATTAGCTGTTTTGGCCACACCGCAGATTCCATACATGTGCCAATACAAAAATGTCCCTACTATGTTACTTTTAAAAGCTGTGTGTTTTCAGAGCAAAACAACCAGGCACTAGTAAAGTTAAAGTGGCCCTGACAAGATTCATCCCTCAAGGATTCGGAGATGTATGCTGACTTGCTGAGACATATCTATTCCAGCATCCTACCTGGTCCTGGTGTTTCCTCAAAATCTGCATCCAGGACAGCTTCAAAGCAGCTAGCTAGCTAGATGGTCCAGCCTCACAAACGGCTTCAGCCAGGACTTCAGCTAAACCTTGCATGTTCTTAGTGGCAGGTGATTCCACAGAGCCACAGAGGACATCGAGTGTAACAGCCAGCTCTCTCAGGACTTGGTCAGCATCCTGATTTTTTTAGAGTCCCAAAGATATTGTTGCTTCCAGACAGCAGGAAGCAATCGAGAGAACGCAGCAACACCCTCATTCTGGAGATGTGGGGTGAGTGGTTATTGGTTGTTTGGTAGGTTATGGATGGTTGTCATTTAGGGGGGTTGGTTGCAGATTGTTAATGGCTGCAGTCAGGGAAGAAACAAAGGAAAGGAGATTGGATTCAGGGATCTCTTTCTCCCCTCTATCCTTCTTTTTCTATCTAGGAGAGTTAGGGGGCTAAAATGGGGGAAAGAGAACAGAAGAGTGGATTATTAGGTTATTGTATCTCCTAGACTAAAAATGCAACAAGTCTCAGATATCTTAGATTGATATGGATTTTTGTATGAGGATAGAAATTTAAGGTTATATTTGCTACAATATAACATATATATGATTGAACTCTCGTTGAGGGTATCTGTGCATGTAACTTCATTGCAACTCATTTAAAATGCAATATTAAAGTCCTAGTCTTATGAAATCTACTATTGCAAAGTGTTAAGGATATTTAAGAAATGCAAGTTAGTAGTCAGTCACCTGTAAGTAATCAATAATCCTTCAACGTGTTCAGAACTACACTTGTGGTCATGTTAGGAACTAGTGTAGTTAACTACAGGAATGAGCCTTATTAAGTTCCCTGGTGCATTTTCAAAACAACTAACTAAAACCAAGCAAGGTTTGTGTATTCAGATATACTTCAGATAGGTAGATAGATGATTGATAGATAGATAGATAGATAGATAGATAGATAGATGATAGATAGATGATAGATAGATAGATAGATAGATAGGTAGATAGATAGATAGATGATAGATAGATGGTCCTCAAACGCTTCAGAGAGCTGCAGAATTTGCCATCTAAGATGTTTTAATAAAAAAGACTTTTCATGACAGAGAGACACCAGCTCTCGGTAGCACCCAACCTCCTCCTCCGAAGAAGATGGGCAGAGAAGAACACTGCCCGGGCCTGCTTCAGATGTGGCAAAGCTGCCAGCACTGGGCTACAAACTGCCCTTTACCTCACCGGTTGACCTCACACTGTGCAAACTGTGGACAGACAGAACACTGGGGAGTTGAGTGCCCCACTTTGCCTAGACAAGGTAGGACTGTCTCCCCAAGTTCCCACTTCACAGGAAAGTCTGTCAAATCTTCTGGCCTGGCGGCAGAAGATAGATGCTCCACGGACCCCAGAGGAAGCGTGGGTGACAATCCAGATAGCCAGTAAGTCTCTTTCACTTCATAGACTCAGAAGCTGAGCACTCTCTGCTCACTCAGGTGAGGTCTATCCTTCTCAGGGGGTTGAAGGCTGGCCGGTTACAGCTTTATCAGGTTTTCAGTAGCAACCAAGGCCTAAGCTGCCAACGTGGTTACCTTCACACATAAACTGCAGGCCACAAGCCTCACTCTCCTGGAGCTAAGAGTCTGTCTTACAGCTTTCCTTGTTACCAGATTCAGAAAAGAGAAACTCACAGAAGAGGTGTAAGGTTTACCCAGCTTGAAAGACTTAGAAGCTCATGTTGTGAGGGATCTGAGAAAGTGGTTTGGAGCTAAGAAGGTCTTTTAAGGTCAGCAAACGCAAAAAAAGGAGGTAAAAGCTTAAATGGCGATAAGAAAATGATTTAAGGAGGCTGAAGAGATGCCTCAGAGGATGAGAGCACTGGCTGCTCTTCAAGAAATCCTGGGTTCAATTCCCAGCAACCACATGGTTGCTCATAACCATCTGTAATGAGATCTGGCGGTGCAGGTAGAACATTGTATACATAATAAATAAATAAATCCTTTTTTAAGAGAAAAGAAAATGATTTCAGGTATATGCACTTCAGATTTCCTTCCCTCGACCACTTGACGCAAACCCTCTACAGAACCTTGAACTCACCAAGTCGAGACAAATGGATTGGATATTATGAATATAATTCTTACCCGAGAATTCTCACAATTGTTCTTAATTGTATATAGTTTGCTGATGTTAGAGATGAAGCCATTTCTTGGTCTAAAGGGGGAGATGGTGGGATGATTAAACCCACACATATTGCATCAAATGGCTACGCAGTTGTGTGCTGTATTTTCAGTTTGTTAATTTCTGTGCTGACAGAGGCAAGTGCCGGCAGGGTATTTATTATTCTCATTTCTGTGGCCCATTACCTGCTTTCTATACATAAATGCTTGTCCTTCTTCACCTGCCCAAATGACGATTCTCTGAGATTATCTTGTTAAAAGCAAGCTTCCTGGTGAAGGTCACATAGCCTTTAATGTCAAAAGACAACACAGAGATATGGACCGGGCGTTGTCCTGCTGCTGATTGGCTCAGACTAGGCATTGTCCTGCTGCTGATTGGCTCAGAGTAGGCGTTGTCCTGCTGCTGATTGGCTCGGACTAGGCATTGTCCTGCTGCTGATTGGCTCAGATTAGATGAGTAAGGAATGTGGCCTTTGAGGAATAAAGAGTTGGCAGTTGGAGCCGGGGCAGGAGGAGGGAGACAGAGGGACTGAAGCACACCAGGAGCAGGGCAGGGAAGTAGAGCAAAGAGAAAGCCACGTACTCAATGGCAGGGAAGTCGGGTTGAGTCTGGTGGGCTAGTTGAGGGACTGTCCCAACAAACAGCCAAACAGCCTCATACTATACAGATATCTCTGTGTCTTTATTATTAAACCCCACGTGGGATCCCCCAAAGCCCTGAAGTATGAGCCACTCTGTGTGGGATCCAGTCTCCAGACTTGAACCGTTAAGATATGATCTGCAGAAACAAATTTGTCAGCCAGAGGTTTTTATCACAAATCAGGAGTTGGCCCGCTGGAAAGATGGCTTAGCAGTTAAGAGCACTTTCTGCTCTTCCAGGAGGCCTGGGTTAGGGTTAGGGTTCCCAGAACCCACATGACAGCTCGCTACTGTAACTCCAGTTCCAGGGGGATCAGATAACCCTCTGGCCTTCCAGGACACTAGGCATGCAAGTGACAGCACGGGCATATACACCAGAAAAACATCTATACGCAATTTTAAAAAATCATAAATCATGAGCTGGTAAAATAGCTTAGCAGGTTAAGGCACTTGTCACCAAGCCTGACACCTGAATTCAATCCCTCTGGGACCCACACGTGGAAAGGAGAGAACTGTATATATACCCTGTGTACCCACTTCGTGCCAGCCTTTGCCTTGTACCTTCCGCCACCGCCCTGCTTTTTATCGGGTGAGCTAGGTTTGGCGAAGCACATCTTTCTTTAATCCAGCACACGGTAGGCAGAAGTCAGCCCGGTCTACATAACCTATTCGAGAACAGCCAAAACGGTCTCAAAAAAAAAAAAAAAATCAGGCATATTGTTGATTTGCTTGATTTTTGGTTTGGGGACCCAGTCTGACTCTAGACTAGCATGGAATTTGCTATGTAATCCAAACTGGCTTCGAATTCGTAAATGGCCTCCTGCCTCCATCTCCCAGTCTGAGAGTGTGAAGATGTGAGCCAGCACTCCCAGCAAGGGTCTGCCTTTCAAAGAAGCGGACAAATCACCCTCTGGCTATGAGGAAGGATCTATGTCTCAGGTGAGCAGTACTTCCAGCCACATTCAAGATGGCGTCGATCCGCAGCCGGTTCGCGAGCTGTGGCAGGCACACACTTCCGTCTGCCACTCCCAACATGGCGCCACTGGAGCGTCCGGGGGCGGAGCCGAGGGAGGAAGTGGGTGTGACAGGGACGGAAGCCGAGCCGGGCTTGGAGCAAAGACAGCGGGGAGTGGGGTCAGGGCTGTCCGCTGCGATGATTCCCCCGCAGGAGGCTTCCGCTCGGCGGCGGGAGATCGAGGACAAGTTGAAGCAGGTGAAGCTAGGGAGAAAGTGAAGGAAGGGCGCAGGGACATCGAACTGGGGTGGAAGGGGAGACGGGGTTAGGCGTAGGCCGTAGTGATGGATGGTGGTGGTCTCCATTCCCCATCGGCTTGTGGTGATGTCCTCCTCTCCGTTCCTCGCAGGAGGAAGAGACGCTGTCCTTTATCCGAGACAGCCTGGAGAAGAGCGACCAGCTCACTAAGAACATGGTGAGTAGCCTCTCAGCTGGGAGGCTGCAGACAGGCTCCCGGGCCCCAGAGGAGGGGCGTGTGACGGACGTGTCCTGTGCCTGAGTCCAGGGACTCCAGCGTGGGTAGCAAACTGTGATAATATGTGGGTATCTCTGCTCCTCAGTCTCCACCCCCTCACTGAGGATTCCGCTGGCCTGGGCCTGTTACTGTCTGTCCTTCTGCAAACATTTAGTGATACCTTGTACATGGTTTGGTACTGGCCCCATACCATTGTCAGATTCATGCGATGCATGCTCGCCTGGAAGGTTGATCCAGGAAGATTACCGAGGTAGAGAAGTCCCAAGAGACTTTAGAAACAGAACCATCTCAGAGAGCTAACTGGTCTTAGATCTACCCCATGTCCCATATCTTACTTATGTGGTTCCTTGTGGGTAAGGCTTGAGTTACGGTTAATTTATCTGGTAAAACAGACAATGTCAGTGTGTCTGTGAAGGGGCCTATACATGCTTCACACTGTCTGGTATATGACAGATGCTTTAAAAGTGTTTGTATTTGTGTTTAGTTACCATAATCAAGTTGTAATACTTATTTAATGAGATTTACCCTTAGGGAAAGAGTTTGTTTGTTTTGTTTGTTTTTCGAAGTAACAGTAATATATTTGCAACTATTCTGGGTGACGCTACTTTCTGTTCAGTTTAGGAAAACTTCAGAGAAAACAGAAACTGAGATTTGGCTTTCAAGGGTAGAAAGGAAGTGATCCTGAGATGATTTAAAAAAAAAAAATTATTTATTATGTGTAGTGTTCTGGTTGTATGTATGCCGACGTGCCAGAAGAGGGCACTAGATCTCATTCTAGATGGTTGTGAGCCACCATGTGGTTGTTGGGCATTGAACTAGGACTCTTAACTGATGAGCCATCTCTCCAGCCTGATTATCTTTTTTTTTTTTTTAAAGAAAATGTATGTGTATGAGTGTTTGCACGTGTGTATGTGCACCATGCATATGCAGTGCCTGCGGAGGTCAGCCGAGGGTGTCAGAGCCTCTGGAACTGGAATCACAGGCAGTTTGTTGTAAGCCGGCTGATATGCGTGCTGGGAACTCAGTACAAGTCCTCTGCAAGAACAGAAGCATCTCTCCAGCTCCCTGGGGATGATTATCTTAGGAAGAACAAGTTTAATGTTTTTCTTGCCTTAGGATGAAATTTCAACCAGTTTATATTGAATCACATACCAGACTAGGGATACAGTAGTAGCAAGCAAGTCGACTGTGTTCCTTCTCATGTGTAGCTTATTGTCTAGAAAACCAAGAAAAGACAAAAAAATGTCTGTGAGTACTTCCAGGCCAGCCCTGAGAGCCATGAGCCAGAGGAGTTCCCCCCGCAGGTGTCTATCCTGTCGTCCTTTGAAAGCCGACTCATGAAGCTGGAGAACTCCATCATCCCTGTGCACAAGCAGACGGAGAACCTACAGAGGCTGCAGGAGAATGTCGAAAAGACGTTATCCTGCCTGGACCATGTTATCAGCTATTACCACGTCGCCAGCGACACTGAGAAGATCATCAGGGAGGGGTGAGTGACAGGCAGAGGGTCACATAAGTAATGTTTCCTGGACCCATGAATCCAAGTAAAACGTATTTGAGCGTAGAACCCCTCATATGAATTCCCTTCCTCTCCTACAAACCATGTCCGTAGTCTGTCTATTTAATCCCTGCCCTCCAAGTCTGAGCCAGCTTTTTTTTTTCTCAGCCCCACAGGTAGACTGGAAGAGTACCTGGGAAGTATGGCCAAAATCCAGAAGGCTGTGGAGTATTTTCAGGACAATAGCCCAGATAGCCCAGAGCTCAACAAAGTGGTAAGGAACCTATGGACTAGTGTAAGACAGACAGATGGACATCAGTGCCTGTCCCAGTCTCACAAGGAACACATGACAATTTAAAGAAGTATGTAGAAGTCAGGTGTGGTGGCTCATGCCTAGAACTTGTGAGTTTGAGGCCGGCCTGGGATATGTGGTATTCCAGACTAGCCTGGGTGATGTAGTGGCTCCATATCTCAAAATGTAAAGCAAACATGTAAAAGAGGAAGATACGTAGCATTCAAAATGTACACGTTAGGTCCTGTGCCTAGGGACTTATGATTTTCCACCATACTATTTCTTTTTTTTTTTTTTTTTTTTTTTTTTTTTGGTTTTTCGAGACAGGGTTTCTCTGTGTAGCCCTGGCTGTCCTGGAACTCACAGGGTAGTCCAGGCTGGCCTCGAACTCAGAAATCCGCCTGCCTCTGCCTCCCGAGTGCTGGGATTAAAGGCGTGCGCCACCACGGCCCGGCCTTCCACCATACTATTTCAAATGTAAGTTTAGCATTTGATTTTTATATACACATCAGTGGTTTCTTCACTATGGTAAAATACATTCTGTGTCTAGGCATGGTACCTCACACCAATAATGCTAGGACTCAGGAGGGTGAGGCAGGAGGATTGCAGCGAGTCCAGATTGGCCTACATAGTGAGTTCCAGGATGACCAGAGCTACATAACAAAACCCTGTAAAGCAAAACAAACACACAAATCATATAAAATCAACCATTTCAGTCAGGCATGATGGCGGGCAAGTACCTGTACTCTTGAGAGGCAGAGGCAGGAGGATGACTGCAAATGTGAGGCCACACTGGGCCACATATCATATTTCAGGCCAGGAAGGGCTTGCAAAACAAAAACAGCAGTTGTCCCCACTGTGACCCTTTTTAGTCGCAGTTGGGTGGCGTAGATGCATCCCACGGTTTTCAGATTGTCCCACGGACAGTCCCTGTCTGTCTCCAGTCATTTTCCCAAACTCAAGCTGTGCAGCCATTTGACACCAAGTGCCAGCCCTGCCTTCCGTCCAGCATCTAAATGTCTGTTCTACATCAGTTCTATTTATAAAGGCTGTGTGTGTGTGCATATATACATGTATGCGTGTGTGCGTGTGTGTGTGTAGGCCAGAAGCTGATCTGAAGTGTTGTTCCTTGGTAATGACACCTGATTTTTGAGACAGGGCTTCTTGCTGGCACCTGTGGCTCACTGGTTAGGCTAGGCCAGCTAGCTACTGAGTCCCAAGAATCTCCCTGTCTTCATGCCCCCAGAACAAGGATTAAAAACACTCACCACCCACAAATCGTCCTTTGATTTCCACCGATGCCAGAGCACACGTGCGCACACAGTGTTTTGTTTTTGACTTTCGAGACTGGCCCATGTCGAAGTAATCTGTCTTTTCTGTCTCTCAAGTGCTGGCATTAAAGGTATGTCCAGCCTCATACCTGGCTTTTTATGTGGGTTCTGGGAAGCGAACTTAGGTTTTCATGTCTGCATGGCAAACAGAATATCAACTGACCTGTGTTCCTAGGCCTTGGCTTCTTTGTTTTAGCATAATGATTGTTTTGTATTTTGGAGTTTTGCTTACTCTTTTCAAGACAGGGTTTCTTCTAGCATGTGGGAGGTAGAGGCAGGTGGATCTCTTGAGTCTGAGGGTAGTTTATACAGCTAGGAGTACACAGAGAAACCTTGTCTTAGAACCCTCCCCTACCCCCCCAAAAAAGACAGAGTTTCTTTGTGTAGCCCTGTCTGTCCTGGAACTAGCTCTATAGACCAGGCTAGCCCTGAACTCACAGAGATCCACCTGCCTCTGCCTGCCAAGTGCTGAGATTGAAGGCATGTGCCACCAGCTTGGGCAGCACAATGTTTTTAAGGGTCATTGAGTCACACCATACTATATCAGTACAGGACTAAATACCCTTTTATTACCAAATAATATAGATATGCCACGTTAAGAAATGACTTATTCAGGCTGGAGAGATGACTCAGTGGTTAAGAGCACTGACTGCTCTTCCAGAGGAACCTGGTCAGATCCCAGCACCACATGGCAGCTCACGACTATCTGTCACTCCAAGATCTGACGCCCTCACACAGACATACACTCAAGCAAAACACCAATGCACATAAAATGAAAATAAATAAATTCTTTAAGAAACATAAAAGAAAGACATTATTCATTTTATTTGTGTTTGGGCACACATATGCTATAAAGGACAACTTACAGGCCTTGCCTCTCTCCTGCCCTGGGGCAGTCATTCTCAGGGTGTGACAGCAGATGCCAAACCCATTGAACCAGCGACTGTTTGGCAGACCTAATATCCTACTTGTGCCCAGCCATTTATCACATCATGATAATTTGGGTTGTTTCTGCTTCTTGCCCATCGTGAATACTGCGTTTGAATCTTTGTGTTTCCCATACATGATTTGTAAATATTCCCTCAGTCATTTTTTTTCACTTTCTTGTTGATAACACCTGACACTAACTTACGGTAATCCAACTGTCTTAGTCAGGGTTTCTGTTGCTGTGATGAAACACCAAGACCAAAGCAACTTGGGGAGGGAAGGGTTTATTTTGCATACACTTCCACCTCACTGTTCATCTTTGAAGGAGGTCAAGACAGGAACTCAAGCAGGGCAGGAACGTGGAGGCAGGAGCTGATGCAGAGGCCATGGAGGATACTGCTTACTGGCTTGTTCACATGGCTTGCTCAGCCTGCTTTCTTATAGAACCCAGGACCTCCAGCCCAGGGGATGGCTCCACCTACAGTTGCCTGGGACCTCTGCCATCAATCACTAGTTAAGAAAACATCCTACAGCTGGATCTTATGGAGCCATTTTCTCAATAGAAGTTCCTTCCTCTCAGATGACTCTAGCTTGTGTCAAGTTGACATAAAACTAGCCAGTATACCAATTTACCTACTTTTTTCTTTTTCAAATTCCTTTCTGACAAGCATTTAAATTAACAGTGAAAAATGAAAAAAAAATTATTAATGCTTGTTAAGCCGAGTTCGGCCTGCAAACATCAAGTGTTTTTGTTGGTTTTTAGGCAGGGCCTCACTGTGTTGTCCTGGCAGGCCTCAAACTCAGAGATCCCCCTGCCTCTGCTTCTTGAGTTTTAGGATTAAGGTACGCACTACCACACTTGGAATGACCGTCAGTTTTGAGAAACAGAAGGGAAAGAAATGACCAAATCAGGGTTCCTGGTGTTTCCTCTGTGGGGTAAAGGAGAAACCGCTGTGGTCTGTGGAGGCCCAAGGCCAGGAGGGGACAAGGGCCACTGAACCCGCTTAGCAGCAGCAACCGTCCTGCTCTTGTCCTTGCAGAAGCTGCTGTTTGAGCGGGGGAAGGAGTCACTGGAATCGGAGTTCCGCAGTCTGATGACCCGGCACAGCAAGGTCGTCTCCCCTGTGCTCATCCTGGATCTCATTAGTGGTGACGACGACCTGGAGGTCCAGGAGGATGTGGTCCTGGAGCACCTGCCTGAGAGTGTGCTCCAGGACGTGATCCGTATCTCCCGCTGGCTGGTGGAATACGGTCGGAACCAAGGTGAGAGTGCTCCCTCTCTCTGTCAGAAGAATGGCAGCTCCTCACTACAGAGCTCTGGCTGTCCTGGAACTCTGTATGTAAACCAGGCCAGCCACGAACTCACAGATGCCTTTGCCTCCCAAGCACTGGGATTATGAGTGCTCACTGCCACGGCCAGCCAGTGCTCACTTCTTTTGACAAAGTTAAATCTGGATGTTGCCTTTGTATTTTGCTTTAGAGTCATTCTCCTTTTGTTTACATGTACATTGTGTGTCTGTGAACATATGGAGTACATGTCACATGCATGCACCTGGCCATAGAGGCCAGATGAGAGAGAGAATCATATCCTGGACCAGGAGTTATAGGTGCTTGTGAGCCACCTGCCGTAGGTACTGGGAGCTGAACTCAGGTCGCTTGAAAGCAACATACACTTATACGTACACCTCACACCCCACACACATAGAACAACAACAAAATTCAGAACAACAAAAACAAACACGGAACAGAACACGTGTGTGAGTTGGTGGGGCAGGTGGTCTCATTCTGTGGAAGAGTACTTGCCCAGCATACAGGAAGTCCTGGCTTTGAACCTCCAACCTGACAAAACGACAAAACCAGTGTTCACCCTGTTGGAGGATGGCTTCACCCTCTGAGACTTTGCTTGCTTTGAGATGAGGCCACGTGAGCAGCTAGAAGCCAGAGCAGGCATTAGGAAGAAGTTAACCAGTGTCGTTGCTCACTCTGCTGCCCTCTGAGGAGAAGTGAAGGAGGCAAAGGGGCCCTGATGGTGTACCGTCCTTGCTACCTCTCTCCAGATTTCATGAATGTCTACTACCAGATCCGTTCTAGCCAGCTGGACCGCTCCATCAAGGGTCTGAAGGAGCATTTTCGGAAAAGCAGTTCTTCTTCTGGAGTTCCCTACTCCCCCGCCATCCCCAATAAGAGGAAAGACACGCCTACCAAGAAACCTGTCAAACGGCCAGGTGAGCACCCACGTTAACGGGTTAAGTAACCAGCAGAGGGATCCCTGGAGTATGGATCATCTCGGTCCACTCCGGGGTGAGCAGTCAGCCTTCTGGAGCTCATGCCTATGAGCTGCGTCCCACTCACAGGGACCCAGGACAGAGAGCCAATGTCCCCTACCCAGCAAGGCCAGTAGAGAGGTTCTTACACCGAGCAGCTGGGTAATTTCTGTGAGGTTGTGGGGTCGGGGGGGGGGGGGGGCGGGGCCACTTGTATGCTTTATTGTCTCTGAGTCAGAGTGGCAGAGGCCGTAGGTGAGAGAGACTCCCTAGAGCTCCTCCCCATCACTGTGTGGTCCCACTGGGTGAGAAGCAGCAGGCACTCTATCCTTCCAGAAAGCCAGAGCAGCATAAACTTCAACATGGCTGAGAGGTGGGCAGCTGTGGGCAGTGAGACTGCAGTGTGCTGGAAGCAGCCATTGCTTACCCCTCCTCACCTCACACCCACGGTCTGTCAGCCTGGCAGGCCTTTGTCTCAGGAGAGACAGGCTGCTCCAGGATCAGGGCTACTGCAGTAGCGCCGGGAGAGAAAGCCAGTGGGCTTCCAGCTGCTGCTCACACATGCCTAGGGGACACACTCTGCTAGCAACAGGCCTTGAGCAGGGCTCACACCCTCCTTTTCCAGTCCCAATCCACCCAAGCCCTTCAGAGAGCCGCAAGTCACTTGTTGGTCCTCAGGCCTTTGCCGAGGGTTTGGAGACGTGGCCATGGGAGGCTGTCTTTCGGGCTTGGTGGCCTCAGCAGGAATTGCATCGTCTTATGTCCTTCAGAGTGTGTCCTGGATTCCTCACTAGAGAACTTGCTGCAGACAGTGACTCCTCTAACCCTCCCTGCTGGGCTCCATCTGCCTGCATGGCTGGCCAGTCCATCTCCGTGCCTTCCCTGTGTGGGAAGGCACTGTGTCCATGCGGCTGCCGGGGCCTCGCCTTCTCTCTGCTCTCTTCCTTTTCTTGCTGGTCCTTTGACGAGCCCACCGGAGGCCCCAGAAGCCTCTTTGTCCCTCCCCAGTCTCCACTGACTATACAGGTCCTAGCGTTTCAGGAAGAGGGATCTGAAAGCTCACCATGAAGTTAATCTGTCCTTGTCACAGAGGTGCAAAGCATCGTGGCTGTGAGGTCCCCGGAGTTCTGTGGAGTTTTAGGAGCTGGCAGGAGAGAGTGGGTTTAAAACTGAGGTGATGATGACAGAGTCAGGCCCTTGGGACATCTGTCCCTGTTTTGAGGACAGAAGAACTGCTGGCCCCATTGGTGATGAGGCACTGACCCCAGCATCTGTCCTTATAATTAGGTACCTGATAGACTTGGTTGCTCCCAGGTCAGCATCCCTGTCTCCTTCTAGCCAGCGTGCTGGTTAGGTTCCAGTTGAGCCCACAGCCCGTCTGCTCCTGGGTGGGTTGTGGAGCAGCAGGGGTCTGATTGACTCATTACTAGGATGCTCACAGAGGAGGGAGCGTGGAGGGAAGCAGATGTGAGCTGGCCTGCCAAAAAGTTTCCAGTAGCTAATCCCAGTGTGGTACAAAGAAAGAGAAAGGAGCCAGCTGAAGGCTGCCCCACCCCTCCTTGCCTGCTGGGTACTATGAGGACAGGAACCTTGCTGGGGTCGGGTATGGTGGTGGGAGTCTCCTGGAAACAGTGCGGTTAAGCTCCTGGATGATGCACCTCCCTTTGCTAACTAGAAGCTGCCCTGTGGCTGAAGTGCTGCTTATGTCAGCATGCTGTGGGCTCCAAGATGTCTTACCACAGGAGCTGGCTGTCTGCAGGAGCTGGGTGTCTGGAAGGCCGGCTGCCAGGATTTCATTTGTACTCACTTGTGATACTAACTGTTCTTTCTTCCCCACGGCAAGAGCATGTCATCCTTACTGTGCTTGCCTTGGAGGGGGTGACTCCTGTTGGCCCTTCCCTAGTTTTTCAGCTTATTACCATTGCTGTGTGGGCTAAGTGCCTTCCAGGTTGTGGGAGCCTCTGCCTCTGGGTGTCAGAACCGCCATCTTGTTTACAGCTCCCCAGGAAACGTAGACCTTTCTTCCAGCCCCGAGGGGCTGCTGCCCTGGACTGCTGTTGGCTTATGTCCCAACACTGAGCATGCACAGGGAGCTCAGCCTGGGGTCTGGGCTGATTTTCAGGGAACCCCCAGGCTGCCCTGTCCTGCCCTTACGTGTGCAAGCTTTCTATACGTTCCTCCACCGACTTGTCTGCCGCTCAGTAGAACCTTCTATTTTTCCTGGGGGATCTTTGTACATCTTATTTTTATCACCTTCTGTCCCTCTTAAAGTGACTCAGATCCAGACCTGAGGGACAGTGTAGAGTCCAGAGTTGTTTGAATACCTTTTCTTCTCTCTGTCCTCAAGGGTGTCTAGTGACCCTGGCAGGGCCTGCTGGCAGAGGTGTTAAGGGGCGTGCTCGCTGTTGGGCGGGCAAGGGTGGGCGTGGGTGGGTGGGCGGGGCAGGTGGAGGGCCGCTGCTGTTCTCTCTCACTCACTCCCTAGGTCTTCCTCTCTTCTCTCTGTGTGGCTCTGGTGACAGGGACGATCCGTAAGGCTCAGAACCTTCTGAAACAGTATTCCCAGCATGGTCTAGATGGGAAAAAGGGGGGCTCTAACCTCATTCCTCTGGAAGGTAATCACCCTGTGCTCCTCCCCCTCTTCCACTGTGTGTCACTCACTCATCGGGCAGGGCAGAGCCTCCCCCAGGAAGGCCGTGGGACAGATCCTGAGGGCGCTGGGTGGGAGTAGCAAACCCCTGATGGTCCTCAGGCTTCAGCAGGCCCAAGGACAAGTTTCATGGCCCTGGCCTGATCCTGCCTGGCTCTGCCCTTCCTAAGGCTCCTCCCCCCTGTCCCTGTCCTTGTGTCCTGTGTAAACTCTGAGAACACTGTCTTGGGGCAGCCCTTTCACGCCCAGATCAGCAGGGCAGGACCAAGTTGGCCAGGGCCTCCTGGCTACCTGCCTCTGTAGAAAGAGTATTTCATGTATCTAAGGGGACAGGCTACCTGAAGGACATGTTCCTCCTCTCCTGTCAAGGGAGGGACAGCCAGATCCGCTGACCTGGCAGACCCAGCCCCTTACAAAGGAAGGCTGTCCTCATTCACTCACCAGTGACATTTTCACTGTCTCCCTGGGGCCATGCACCTTCTCTTGGTCTCCCTGGGTCAGGAAACACACAGCCAGGGATGGTCCTGAGGCTCCCTGAGAGTCAGGCTTGAAACGGCTGTTCCCAGTGGGGTTTGAGGCGGTGGAGGGGCTCAGAGCCCTCCTCAATGCCCCCTCCCTAGCCCCATGTCATGCTCCGCTCCTGGAGGTCAAGGGCTTCCTCCCCATACCCAAGGGGCAGCTGCCTGGCCCTGGATAAACGCTGCTTGTGTTTGTGCGGCCAACATCTTGCTAGGTCACGAGCATGATTTCCGAGTTAAGCACCTGTCGGAGGCCCTGAACGACAAGCACGGGCCACTGGCCGGTGAGTACCGTAGCCCAGCCCCAGGGTAGCCAGACACTGCCTTCGAAGCAGTTCCCCGGATGGCCTGCTCTGCTCTAAGGATGGGCCTGGCCTGTGGCCTGGCTCCCACTCCAGGTTCCTTTGGGCCGGAGGTCTCCCTGGCTCTTGTGAGATGGGAGTGTGTGCTTGGCTCTTAGGGCCTGGCCAGAGGGCAGCTGCAGCTTGAGCTTGAAAGGCAGGCAGGAGGGCAGGTGACCTCTGAGGTCAAGGAACCTAGACATCGCACTTCTCGGAGCCTTTCCATGCCATGTAAAACCGACTGCTGTGTCCGGGCACGCCTGCTCATCCACAGTGGGATGCTGTCTCCTCCTGGGGCAGCTCAACAAGGAGACAGAGACTCACCTATCTCTTCTCAGATTGTTCTGTCTCGCTGAGGTAGAACCTCACTATGTACCCCAAGCTGGCCTTGAACTCGGCCACCACACCCCAGCCTCTGGAGTGTTGGGATCCCAGTTGTACGTCACACTCGACCAGCTCACTCTTTCTAGAGTTAGCTATCCTCTACACACACCAGCCAGCCTCATAGATCACAGCCCACTATGCCCTTAACTCTCAGGGACGATGCAGTTGTTAATGACCTTCATAGGAACCACACCTCCCAGACTGAAGACCACAGTGACCCTCTTCTTAAAATGGACACTACCACCTGCCTATCCTAGACTGCCCTCTTTCAAGCAATTCAGAATCCTCAGACCTGGGGCCACACAACCTTATCCAGGAAGTTGGTTTGGGAATTTTTCTTCCTTGGCGCTTTCTCCCACCACCTCTAGTGTCTGACCTGGGACATAAATGCTGCCTGTGCTGAGCTGGAAACCAGGACACAGGGTGGACTCGGCACCTGATCTCCCAGGTCTGCCTGAACAGTTCTTATGGCTTCCTGTCAGCATAGTCGTCTCTTCCCGTTTGCTGCCTGTCTGGGCTCAGCCCAGGAGCTGGGAGACTCGTACCCCAGCAGAGTGAGTGGTTTCTCCCAGACCAGTCACTCAGGGTCACTGCTGTCCCCCTAGGGAGAGAGGACATGCTGGATGTCGAGACGGACGCCTACATTCACTGTGTCAGTGCCTTTGTGAAGCTGGCCCAGAGTGAATACCAGCTGCTGACGGACATCATCCCAGAACATCACCAGAAGAAGACCTTCGACTCCTTGATACAGGTGCTCCTCCTCCCGCCTTGATGCTCTGAGCACTGACCTGAGTAACTGTCACTGCAGAATCTAGGGTGGGGCAGGCCTGTTGCCCCGAGCCCTCAACTCTATTTGGTGTAGTCCCCTCCCCCGTCCTGCACAGCATTCTGGCTTTCCTTCATGCCCCACAAAGTGGCTCACTGTCCCTAGGAACCAACTCTGTCCCTCCTCTAGGACGCCCTGGACGGGCTGATGCTTGAGGGGGAGAACATCGTGTCCGCTGCCAGGAAAGCCATCATCCGCCATGACTTCTCCACTGTGCTCACTGTCTTCCCCATCCTGAGGCACCTCAAGCAGACCAAGCCTGAGTTTGACCAGGTGCTCCAGGTAGGTGAGCCAGGAGGTTCTGAGGGCCTCTCTCTCTCTTTGTGTCTTTCTCTGACTCTGTCTGTGTCTCTCCCTCTCTCTCTTTCTCTCTCTCCCTTCCTCTCTCTCTGTGTCTCTCTATGACTCTGTCTCTCTCTGTGTGTCTCTCTCTGACTCTCTCTCTCTCTCTCTCTCTCTCTCTCACACACACACACACACACACGCACAGTGTCTCTTTATTCCCTTCTGGGAAACTGTTCCGTGTACTCACCTACAGCTCTTATGAGTGGCTCCCAAGGTAACAGAAGAAAAGCCGAGGTTAATCTCGACCTCCAGCCTCTCCTGTGGAGAATTCAGCCTCTAGGCTGAGGGTTGGGAAGGACCTAGTTACCCTCAGGGCTTGCTGGAGAGGACGGTGACCCCGGACTCTGGTGTCTGTGTCAGCCATGTCCTTCCTCAGGGTACAGCAGCCAGCACGAAGAACAAGCTGCCTGGTCTCATCACCTCAATGGAGACCATCGGGGCCAAGGCTCTAGAAGACTTCGCAGATAACATCAAGGTCTGCAGCCCTTTTCCCTTCCCGGGACTTGCTCATGAGCCCTGGGGCTCCTCAGAGAGCAGGCCTCCCAGAGAGTCGGCTTTGCTCTTAGAAAGGCCCTGCAGTGCTGGCTCCCTGGGGTTCCCTTAGAGCTCTCCTGTTTCTTCCCAGGCACTGAAGCCCTCTGCTGCTGACTTCTTTCACTGCTGCGGCTGGGGGGCATCCTAACACCCATGTGCCAGTAGATGGTGCCATAAGCAGGCCGATCAGGGCTCAGCCACTCAGAGGCTACAGGTCAGAGCCCTTTCAGGGAAGGAACTAAAAGCTGTTTTGTTTGTTTGTTTTCCTACAGAATGATCCAGACAAGGAATACAACATGCCTAAGGATGGCACCGTTCATGAACTCACAAGCAACGTAGGTGTTCCTCAGACTCTGCTGAAGAGGTGTGCGAAAGCCTCCAGCTCAGGGTCTAGGGGATCCAGCAACAGTGGGAACCCCGCCTGGCTGGCCCCAAGCTCTTGGCCTTCATGAGCAGGCCTTGGTGGCGAAGGGCTAACTTACCAGGCATATAGGGCCTCTAAGGTAGCCAGAGTCCAGGGATGACACCTGAAATTTCCAGTTGTCCTTGTCACTGTACAGAGCCCTGGTACAAGACCTCCCTGCTGGTTGGAAAGGGTCCATGTGGGAAGCGATTGCCTGCCTCCGACCCTGTGTATGATTTCCCCACCAGGCCATCCTGTTCCTGCAGCAGCTTCTGGACTTCCAGGAGACAGCAGGTGCCATGCTGGCCTCCCAAGGTACACAACCCCTGAGCTGGACTTGCCTGTACCTGCTCTCCCCTTTTGCCTAGGGACATGGAAGTAGTTCCCTAGGAGGCACTGACTTGCTTCCCCTGCAGCCTGTGGGGGACCCTGAGCCCCATGGACTCTGCAGGAGTGAACATAAGGAGGGAGGGCTGGGTTTGTCAGCATTCTTATGCCCTAACCCTCTGCTTGCCCCTTTGGCCGGCAGTGTTCTGGGTGGCACTGCAGGGCTCGGGTGCTCGTCCCGCCCTGCCCCGCCTCCGTACTTCTCCACTTGCTGCTGTGTTGTCTGCCTACTCTGTCACTCCATCACCTCACTGCCCCTTGGTGGGACCGGAACTAGGGGTTGGGGGTGCTTGGCACGTAAGGAAGAGTGCTCTTCTGAGTCATTCTGAGCACTGAGATCCCCAGTGCCCCTGTCTGCTTTTATTTTGGGGACAAGAAGCCAAGAGCTGCCAGTTGTCCTGGGCCGCACTTTGCAGGGTGTTTCTGGTCTTGAGTTGGTTTGGCTTGGTGTGTGCTGCTGTCTGTGTCTGCCTGCTCTGGGGGAGGAGTCTGCTTGGCTTGGGGGACACAGCCACTTCTAACCTGTTTTTTGCACTTTGCATCTTTCTCCCTCCTCTGTTTCCCTCCTCCCCCTCTGTGTGCACTGCCTGTCACTCCGTAGTTCTTGGGGACACATACAATATTCCTTTAGACCCCCGAGGTAAGCAGTGTGGCTCCCCAGCCCCATCCTCCCCTCCAAAACCCGGTGGGTGAGGGTCCCAGGGGACCAACCCTCAGGACCCACTGGGGGCAGGGCAAAGGAGCATGAGTTCTTTAAGGGTGCCCTCATCTCCCCTGGTTCCCTTCACAGCCACCATCTGTCTCTGAACCTCTCCAGGGTGCACCCTGATAGGTCCAGTGCCCTAGGAACGACCCCTGGCTAGCCTAGCCCCTCCCCTCAGCCTTCTGCTCTATGTCAGCAGGTCCCTGTGCTGGGGGTGGCAGGGTAGCAGGGATTTGTGAGGAGAAGGTGGAAAGGCTGGGTGACCCTACCCAGAAACCTTGCTGTTGGCAAATAGATACTAACCATCATATGTTGGGGACCAGGTTGGGAAGGAGTTGGTACCCCGCACCTCTCCTGACTGCCTACTGGCTATCATGGGTTCGTTCCTTAACCTATTACTGTAGAGGACAGCCCTGGGATGCAGAAAGCGTCTTGTTAGACTGTTAGCATTGCTTCCTGTGGCCCACAGCCATCTCTGCTTGAGTGCTCACTTTAGTCCTACCTGCCCATGGCCTGTCCCAGCATTTCCTCCTCTGCCCCTGGGGTGTGGGAAGGGCCATCAGGGGTCTTGGCCATTGCCACCATAGTAACAGCATATTTTCTCACAGAAACCAGCTCTTCGGCCACCAGCTACAGCTCTGAGTTCAGCAGGCGGCTGCTAAGCACCTACATCTGTGAGTCTCCTCCCACACCGGCCAGAACCTACTCCGCTCCCTCCCTGTCTCTGCACTATTCATCTCTTCCTGGTCCTTTCCTGGCCAGTTCCAGTTCAGGACCCAGGGCTTTAGAAGAGTTTCAGAAGCCTGGTAGTCAGACGAACAAGGAACAGTTGTCAGGAACTGGTTAGCAGGCCCTGGAGGTTGGTTGTCACAGGATATTTGGTCACACTGTGAACCCTGAGATTGTGTTATTTACTGAAAAACCCTGTTTCTAGTCATGGTCTGGCTCAGACCCAAACAGTGAGGGTAAAGTTAGTTTGTAGAAGGAAGCAGCCATGTTTGGAAGTGATGTCTAATTGAGTGGCAGACAAAGTGACGAATCAGAGAAAGATTTGACAGAAAACTCTCAGGGGAAGGGAGAGGAAGAGGAGGCTACTTAGGAGAGCACTGTAGAGAGAAAGAAGGAAGAGGCAGTTTTACGAGGACAGTGAAAGAGAGACAGGTTGCAGAGAGAGAACAAGCTAGACACAGGTAAAGCTAGCCCGAGCTAGAGAATGAGAAGGAACCAGAAGATTAGAACAGGTTGCTAGAGTTAGTTTGAGGCCAGGCAGGGTAATTAAGGAGAAGCCCAGAGAAGCCAGATTGAATCAGTCAGCCTGGAGAGGAGTTTGAGCCAGGACAGCTGAGCTGAGCCGACCAGCCAGTCAGAGCTCAGAAAGAACTTGGAAGGTGCGAGCAGTAAGTCTCAGAGGCTGAAAACATTCTAAGCTTACATTAGATTCTATGGAGGCTAGAAGCTTCCAGGCCTAGGCCTAGGTTGGCAGACAGAGGCACTAAGCCTCTGAGATGAAAATTATATCAGGACGAATAGAAGATCCTTTTATAGTCAGGTCATTTGGATCAGACAGTTTTGGTGGATGTAGCCCCATCTTTCTCTATAGGCAAAGTCTTGGGTAACCTGCAGCTGAACTTGCTAAGCAAGTCCAAGGTGTATGAGGATCCAGCACTGAGTGCCATCTTCCTACACAACAACTACAACTACATCCTCAAGTCCCTGGAGAAGTAAGTGGCCTTGCCTCAGCTGGGCAGTCATGGCAGCCTCTGCCCACCAGGGCTGGATGCACCGTACAGTCTCCTAGGACGGGGTGCTCAGTCTCTCTCTTTGCTGAGCACCCCCTTTAGAGCTCAGGAAGGCTTGGACGGGAGGCCTCCTTCCTGGTGTTGCTGCACGGCCAGAGAGTGCAAAGCCCCACGTACTTTTCCCTTTCTCCTTTCCTTCTGCCTTCCCCCAGGTCTGAGCTGATCCAGCTCGTGGCTGTGACCCAGAAGACTGCTGAGCGCTCGTACCGGGAGCACATCGAGCAGCAGATCCAGACCTACCAGCGCAGGTAAGCAGCTGGCAGCGTTCCTGCTGCTCCCCACCTGAGCCCACGCACTTCCTCCTCAGCCCCTCCTAGAGTGAGGCCCACAGCTAAGGCCTGACAGTGCAGGTGATAGCCCTGTTACTGTCTGTTTTTCTGCTCTTGGAATTTGTTTTTAGGGTGGGGCTCAAAGCCAGGGCCATAAACAGGCCGAGCGTGGGGTCTGCCACTGAGTTGAGCCCCTAGCATTTTTCTTTTCTCTACTTATTTTTTAAATCTAATTCACGGGGGAGGAGAGAGAAGCTCTGCCCCGCTCCTCTTGGTAGCTGTTCCCTGGGGACCACAAAGCCTCGTCAGAGTGGTCTGCCAAGTGTCCTGGCTAAGAACAGCTGAAGAGCGACCTGTCAAAGATGTAAGCAGTGGTTAGCCCTAGAGAACAGCAGGGTCATGAGAGCCCTTGAGCTTGGAAAGGATCCAGCTACTTCTCTGGTCCTCTAGTTCCCTCCGCCTGTTTCTTCCTGACTGCCTCCCGCTTTCTTCCTGTTTATCTGGCCTCTTTCCCCATCTGTCTCTCTCTCTTAATTTGCCACAATATTGACGTGAGCCACAGTCGGCAGCATTTGCTCAGTTTATTGAGTGCCTTCTGCTTCCTGTTCTTAATTGTCAGAGCGAGCAGCTTAAACACTGTCTGTTCCCAAGGAGAGCATCTCTGTTGTTTTGCTTACTCTTGACCTGGATAACTCCTACTGCCCCCACGTTCCGTAGACTGAGGACTTTGAAAAGCAAAGCAAGCAGACTTTAGGGAAGAGGCAGCTGTCTGAAGCTGTCCTTCTCTGTCCTCTCACCCTGCTGTGGCAGCTGGCTCAAGGTGACTGACTACATCGCAGACAAGAGTCTACCTGTGTTCCAGCCTGGAGTCAAGGTAAAGCCCGAGGCTTGTGCCGAAACTCGAATTGAGCAGAGGGATGGATACCTGTATCTTAGGAAAGATGGACAGGCGTCTCTGGGCAACAGAGATGTTTGAGACCATGAGGAATCAGGAGAGGGCGGGCCTTACAGTGCTTGGGGCAGGAGAGGGCAGAGTGGTTCTGCTCTGAGCAAAGCTTTCTCTGCTGCCTTCTTCTGCTCTCTGGACCTCCAGCTCCGGGACAAGGAGCGGCAGATGATAAAGGAGCGTTTCAAGGTGAGTCAGGGTCCTCCCTGCACGGACGGTGGCGGCAGCCGTGGCAACAGAGGCACAGAGCTTTTGTCGCTGGGTTTTGTTGTTGTTGTTTTGTTTTTTGTTTTGTTTGAGACAGGGTTTCTCTGTGTAGCCCTAGTTGTTCTGGAACTCACTTTGTAGACCAGGATAGCCTCGAACTCACAAGAGATCCACCCGTCCGCCTGCCTCTGCCTGCTAAGTGCTGGGATTAAAGGTGTATACCACCATATCCAGCCTTAACTCTGTCTCTTGGTCCCTCCTTCCTACCTGTCCGGTGGTCAGGGCTTCAATGATGGACTGGAAGAGCTGTGCAAGATTCAGAAGGCCTGGGCCATTCCAGACACAGAGCAGAGGGACAAGATTCGACAGGCTCAGAAGAACATTGTCAAGGAGACCTATGGGGCCTTTCTGCACAGGTGAGCCTGTCTCCTCCTGGGCTCACTGCTGTTCGCTTTCCAGGTGCCCCATGTGCTCTTTCTCAGGGAAACACAAAGGGGTCACGGGGGTTACGGGGGTCACGGGATAGACAGCACACTTTGGTTCTCTGAGCTTTGGGACTTTATTCGGGCCCACCCACACCATCGTAGCGCTGTCAGAGATGTCTTAAATTGAGGGTGGAGACGACCTTCCCCTGACCTTTCATCATGGTGTCTGGTCAGGTATGGCAGCGTGCCCTTCACCAAAAACCCGGAGAAGTACATCAAGTACCGTGTGGAGCAGGTGGGCGACATGATCGATCGCCTTTTCGACACCTCTGCTTAAGTCTGCCAGTGTTTCTGCCAGTTCTACCGGCATGCCTAGCATGTCAGCGGACTCATAAACCAGTAGTAACACACTTCCGAGCCCGGTGAGTGTGGAGTCCTTTGGAGCAGAGAACTGTGTGCCCCATCCAGGAGCCCCGCCCCGAATTGTCCTGGCGTGTCTGCGTCTTCCCAGAACCCGTTATCCTCCATCATCCACCACACCAGCACTCGCCCAGAACTAGGTCCTTTCACGCCTTGGGTTCCATGATAGAGTGCATCTGGCAGGGGCTACAAGATGACTTCTGAGGTGAGAAATGATAAAGAAGACAGACAGGGGCCCCCAGCTGCCATGTGGATACCAAGAATAGCATGGCAGGCTCCACCCTGGTCTGCTTTCAGCCCTTCAGCCCACAGATGTGAATGGGCTCCAAGAAATAGGCCAGACTGCAGCCAGCAGACCAGGAGGAAAGGCTGCCAAGCCTTAAGTAGGGCACTGTCCTTATGCTGAGCTCTGGGACGTTCTGACACCTGGGAGTCTGCTGGGTGTCAGGAGGCAGGACTGCTCTGTCTCTGGTCTCTTTGGATCTAGGCACTTCAAAAAGTGTTTGGAGGATTCTGAACTCCTCTCTGGGGCCAGCCACTCAGGCTCCTGTTCCCCGTCCCCAGCGTCTGTGCTCCCCAGCCCAGGCCATGCAGCAATGGTTGAGGTTGAGGACCTTTAGGCTGAGACTGTGAGGGACAGGGAACTAGGGGGGCGAAGCAGAACAATCCAGGATCAAACCGGAAGATCACGAATGTAAAGTTGGGCCCTACTGCTAGGATGGCAGTGAGTGACTGTGTTCAAGAAGGGCGTACCCTTACAGTGCACTTGGGTGATGTTATTATTCTTTTCTCCACAGAGGGGAGAGTTAGGATGCATGAGCCTCCTGTTAGAGAATGGAGCTGACACGTGTCTCTGAGACACTGTCGTAACCCTCACCCAGCTGTAAGGCCTATGCTGCACCCTTAAGTCTGTATCCTTAGGCCCACTCTGTTACAGACCAGGCTGCCCACCGTCACATACCCTGCCAGGGGCTGGGCCAGACTTGCACATGCTCACATGCAGACAGCCACAAACGTGAGCCACGTGCATGAGGAAGAAGGTGTGGTCAGCGGCTGTAGCCCGGCCCCTCCTTGAAATCTTTCCTCCTCTAAGAGCTGCTGACTGTCAAGGAAAGGAACTGTTCTTGGCTGCTCCAGAATGTTCTTCCAGAGCAGAATGGTCAAAGGCAGGAATTCTTGGCCCAGTCTCCCTTCTTTAGATGTTCAACTAATTAAAGTTTGGATCTGCCCCATCCTAGGCTTCCTCTAGTGGGGGAAACACCCTCTGAGAGAACTCTACCGGGCATGAACTTCTCTTAGGTGCCACCAAGGCCTTTAGAGGGACGAATCTGTCCTACTTCAAAGCTGCTGCTACCTCAGGGGGACAGAGTGGGGCCCAGAGACAAGCACCAGCAGTGTAAACACTGGGAGCCATCAGTACGGCAGGCCCAGCCATCCAAGTCTGGCTGCTGTAGGTGTTCAGCTTGTCACTCTGCTCTGTTAAATCTCGCTGAGCCTCGTGCCTCACGACCCTCCACTGCCGGAATGGTCCTTAGGCTTTGCCTACCTTCCATATTAGGTCCTGGGTTCTCTTGATCACTCAGTTTATCCTCTGGGCACAGGTTTGGGGCTGCTCTTGTCTCTAAGGCTGGATGTGAACAACAGCCATGGTGCTGTGGAAAAGCAGTAGCTGCTGAAGAGCAGACTGCCTAGGCCCGACCCGTGGGGCCTTGGTGACTACATGAGGCAGGGAGTCCAGGGAGCATGTCTTACCGAGCAGAGCATGCAGGAGGAGGAGTGGAAGACAAGGTACTCGGGCAGCGCTGTCACTTTGTAGGCAACACTCAGTGGTGCGGAGGGACAGCAGACCCTCACATACATTGACTAACAGCAGTGCCTTCCTGGGACCCAGCAGCAATGGGTTGGACTTGAGCTCTGTGTTCAGCTGAAAGTAAAAAGGCATCTCCTAGGCTGTAGAGGGATCAGACAGCAGGGAGACCACAGTGCCTCTGGGTGTATACCATCCCCTCCCCTTGACCAGACTCTACCAGTCTCTCTCTTCCCGGTAGACTTTGTCACCTGGAGGCAGGGCATGGGTGCTGGTGGGACCTGAGCTTTCAGATCATGAACTATACATTCTCTCTTGACATAGTCACGAGAGTCTACCCCATGGGCCTGAGACTCCATGAGCTCCATCACGGAAAGGGATGGGGTGCAAAGAGGGAGAACTAGGCAGAGACTGGAGCCCACAGAAGCTGCTTCTCATGGCCTCTGGGGGCAGGCAGGAGGGGCCAACACTTGGGTTTCCCTAGCCTTTAGAAGCACATGAGATAGTCTCCAGTTAAAGAAGGGCCTTAGATTCAGGGATGAGTTTTCCTTGTGGAAATAAATGCGCTTGGCAGCACCTCGTGGCCGGGAAGTGACTACGGATCATCTCTGCCCGTCATTTCTTACTGGAAACATTACAGTCCCTGGGGCAGCAGCTGCAGGCTTCCTGGAAGTGCTTTACCAGTTCAACATCTGGAGGGTTTGGGCATATGACTGGGTGGCTTCCTCTTCAGTTGCCTTTGGGAATGAGCCTCTGGATCAAGCACTCCTGGCCCAGACACTGTAGCCTGCCTTGGCTGTGGAGAGCAGTCGTTCTGGGGAGAAAGACTGAAGTGGACAGAAAGTGAAGCTGACAGGAGCCAGCTGCTGTGGAGTGGCTGTGACACTGGAGGGTGGTGAAGATCCTCCTAGGGAACTGGAGATGCACGGACTTGCTGGGAGATGGAGAAACTGTGCTGCTCTGGGTGCCATTCTGCTGCCTTAAGACCACAATGGGGTGGAGGGGAGTGGACTAGTATACTAGACCACAGAGTCCTGTACCAGACTGGACTGGAGACCAGCCTCCCCTCTGATGTCCCACCGAGTCTCCCACTCGAGGATCTGCGAGTACCAGTGTTGCTGAAAGGGTAGAAACTGAGGCTGCAGTCACTGTGGTACCTGGAAAATGGAGGATCTCAAAGTTGCAGTTGGTCGTGGTGGTTAGGGCCAGGTTAACTTCACATGGCCATCCTGGTCCACCCATAACCTTCAGGGAGAAGCACCATGGCCAGAGTCCAGGCCATTCTTGTGCTGGAACAGGACAGATCCCAGTTTTGCCAGCCCCACTAAGACTCCAGTGAAGCCTCATCTTCCACATATATGTGTACTTAAACTTAGTATGTTGATGAAGGCTGATGCATTGGAGTGTGGGCCCCACCCCTACTTCCCCCAGGTGGGGGCTTACCAGCCTTAGCATCAACACAGAGGACGCTGAACTGCAGGATGTCCTCGAGGAGGGGGACATCAGATTGGGTTGATTACTGTCACAGGCAGCAGGAAGCCCAAGCACTAGCCAAGGCTGAGTTCTGCCCTCTCCCCAGTTTGGCACTGGGTCCTGTGCCTTCCTGCGTCATCGGGGGATTCACCACATTAAACATGGTGGACACAGGGCAGCTGCCTCTGTGCAAGGACTAAGCCTTGGCCTAAGCATGCCTTCTCCCACCCGGTTCTACAAACACCCAAAGATAAAGCTTAGAGCCCAGCCCCAGCTACTGCACCTGCCTGGGTGTCTCTTCCTGTTCCATTTCCAGCATCCAGAACACATTGTGCTATGAGACAAGCCTTTGTTTCTTTTTTGAATTTTACTTATTTGTGTATAAGTATTGTGTGTGCACATATGGTGTGTGCCAGAAGAGGGCATTGGATCCCATCACAGATGGTTGTGAGCCACACCATGGTTGCTGGGAATTGAACTCAGGACCTCTGGAAGGGCAGCTAGTGCTCTTAACTCCCGAGCCCCTCTTTATCTCTTCTACATGGCCCTAATTGGGGTTGGGGTGCAGGCTGTGCGCTTTAGTGACCAAAGCCAGTCCACTCCATGATGTGAGATGATGTCTTTGCCCTTTTACTCCTTAAACACTGTTCTGATCTTATGTAAAGTGCCTTGACTCAAGAACTCAGGGACAGATAGAGACCGACTTGTGAGTGAAACCATGGGACACTCATGTTCTGCCAAATCAGCTTGCCCCAACCTAAATGAACTTAGAATCAATCATGGTAGTGTATGAGGAATGGAACTTGCTGGAAGATGACTTTTTACAAGCAAAAATTAAGATGCTGGATACTTGATCCTGCCCAGCTGCAGGTGAGTGTAGGGAGGGTCAAAATAAACAAGGCCAGGAGTGAAGCACTAATCAGGCTGCCCAGACTTAGGCTCCAGGGAGCAAGTAGCCCATGAGAGCCCTCCTGAACTTGTACGTGGATAAACTAAAACAGAAACACAAGTCATTCCTGTTGTCTGTCAATCAACTTCAACCTACTCAAATGTATTGCTTGTCTTGATCACATGAATTGGCTGATGACTTAGTGATAAATGAACAACTAGCACCTCTGGGTGACCGCATGTTAGGCACCACTGAATCCATAGGCTAAGAACCATCATAGTCACTCTCTGTTGACGCTGCTGTCCTATAGTAGTTAAGCTAAGCACCCTGCACTGAGAACCGTCCTTCACCCTGTCAAGTCCCAGAGACTTTTTACACTGGGGTTTGGGGTTTTGCCACAGAAGTCCTACACGCATCAAAGCATATGAAATGGTTTGAGCCTTTTAAATTTTTTATTCTTGTTCAAACTGGATCTCAGGTAGTTTAAGCAGGCCTCAAACTCGATGGCTGGCTTTGGTCCTGCTCCTGCTCCCACTTCCCGAGTGCTGGGATTGAAGTGTCACCACTCTAGCAACCTGTGCAGTTTAATAACAGAAGGTCCCGAATAATCCTCAGTCTTTAGCTGTAACCCTGTAACATCCAAGCATAACTCTCAGGTGTCCTCAGGTCACACTGTACAGAAGCTGTCCTTTAACAGGCTGGATGGAGAGGCTTCTAAGAAGCTGTGCAGTTAGGAAGTGTGGGTGCTGGGACAAGGGGCCCAGCTGCCTCGTTCGCCTGTGTCAGGGCTGTGGACTCCTGTTCCAGCATACTGCCACTATGGTTCCCAGGCTCCAGGATGCACACTCGGCCGGAAGCTCGCCTCGGGGCACGGCGCAGCAAGCCCGCGCAGATTTTTCGGAAACCTTTGCGGAAATGCTTGGAGACCAGAGCATAAACGATGGGGTTGACACACGAATTGGCATAAGAAATTAGGTGTGAAAGGATGCGCAGCGCGTAAGTGGCACGCGTGAGCGGGAAGCGACCAAACCACACGCAGAGGATAAGTGTGTGGTGGGGCATCCAACAGAGGCAGAAGAGCACCGCCACAATGACGATCATCCGTGTCACCTTACGCTTGGCGCGCTGGGAACCTGAGCCCGCAGCCACTGGGTCCACTGTGCGCCACAGGTAGCGCAGGGTGCGCGCATAGGTCAGGCTGAGGACCAGCACTGGCAACAGGTAGCTAAAGACGAAGGTGCAGAGGTCCATGGCGCGACGTCGAGGTGCGCTCCATGCTGGGTGGCACACCGTCAGGTTGGCCAGCTGCGACTGCTGGTAGTAGCTCAGGTAGGGCCCGGAGAAGAGCAGTGCTAGCCCCCAGATGAGCCCGATGGCCGCCAGCGCGTTTCGAGGTGTGCGCAGCTCTCGGGAGTGCAGCGGGTAGCGAATGGCCAGATACCTGTGGGGACAGAGTGGGGGGGGGGCGTCAGGTAAGCGAGAGGATTCACTGCTAGGCCAACTCTGGGAATGTGGCCACCGACCTACTCCACGCGAAAGAGCACTCCCAAACCACCGAAGACTAAAAGTTGTAGAATCTGCCTGGACTTCTGGGGGCAGTGATTATCATCCTCTCGTGACAACTGAGGGAGGCAGATCCCTAGTACCTGAAGCTCTGACAGACAACCTGGAGAAGGCTTGGGTCAAACTACAACAAGGAAATCCCTAAAGAAAGCTGCACTCAGTGGAAACCAGAGGAGAATGAGGACCACAGCCTCTCTTCACCGCTCTTCTGTGAGAAGGTCCAAGTGATGTGAACAGGTAGGGAACTAAGGAAAGCGACAGCGGACCACGATGTCCTCCCCAGGACCTATTTCTAGTGTCTTTTCTAGTCAAAATCCCTTCAGGGCATTCTGAAAGTTTCTCTTTCTGGGTCCTTTAGCTAGGGAAGGAGCATCAAACCGCTAGCGTCTCTGGGCGGGGAGCCTTGGCCTGGAGGGCTTTGGGTGTCAGGTAGGATCCCTCACCCACGTTCCCTTAGACTTCAGCATGGGTCTCCCCAAAGCACAACCCAGTCCTAAGCCTAAGGCGCCAGACAATGCTCCAGGTACTGAGCTCGGTGCCAAGAAGCAGATGCTTCTCTGCCGCTCTCAATTAGCATCTGGATACTGGGAAGTTACTTGCGCGCCAGCTCTGGTCTGAGTACTGCAATGTTTCATAGACACAGCTCAAGCAATAATAATATAAAGACCCCAGAGAACTGATTTCTCCCGCCGTCGAGGTTCGAGGACCGACTTAATGGAGGGACACCCTTAGTCACTGAGTCTCACCCTTTCACCTTTCGTTTCACCGCCTCCGGCCACTTTGTAATTTCTGTGTTCTCACCCACTCTGCGCATCCCTTCTGGATCCCTGCGGAGCGACTCCAGCCCAAACTCCTACCTAGGTACCCAGTTCTCAGACACAACAGAATGTTCACTCACCTGTCCAGGGAGACGGCGGCCAGCGTGAAGCTGCTGGCGTTCATAGTGAGGAAGATGAGGAAATGAACGGCCTTGCAGAGCAGTGAGCCAAACACCCAGTCGTCCAGGGTGTAGATGGTGGCCTGGAAAGGCACGCAGCACAGGATAAAACACAGGTCGGCCACGCCCAGGTTGAGGATGAACAGGTTGGTGGTGCTGACCGCCTGGCCGCCACGCAGCAGCACCGCCAGCACCAGCGTGTTGCCCACGGTGCCCACGAGGAAGATGAGCGTGAAAAACAGGGGAACGAGGACCGCCTCGGGCTGCCAGCCGCCGCCACCGCCTTCTTGGCTCCTGTCCTCCGACCCCTGGCTGCCTGATCCGTTCATGGTGTCACCAAAGCGGACGCAGCTGGAGCTCCCGCAGCCGTCCCGGTCTTGGTGCAGGCGCAGCTCCCTCGCTGCAGCGCCCCAGCGAGACTGCCGAGCTCCAAGAGCCAGAGCAGGAGTGCGCGGGGGACGGGAGGAGGAGCGAGCACCCAGGGTGTAGGATGGTACCCCGCTCCGGCCTGCAGCCGAGAGAGGTGCTGTCGAATGACCCTGGCTTCGTTCGCCTCCCGCACTCAAGTCCTGGGACGCGCTCTGCTTTAGATTTGAGTCGCTCACTGGCTTGTCGCACTGCCCCTGGAGTGGTGGAGGGAACAGGGTGCGCGCCGGATATGGGGCGCCTTTAAGAGAGATCCACCCCATTACTCGGAATGAAGGGGCTGACACCGATTAGTGGCGCTGTGGTTGCGCCCCTCACCCCCAGCCCCCAAACACACAACCAGCAAAGTGGAATGACCGGTCATACTTTCTATGCCTCTCCCATTTCTATTTCCTTGGAATACCTCAGCCTGCCACACAGGAACTCCAGAGAGCAACCCAGAGGAGGCAGAAAGGAGGGTTTTTTGTTTTGTTTTGTTTTTCTTATTTTGAGACTGAATGTCTCTGTGGACCCCAGATTTGTCCTGACTCACGCTTCTGCATCAGTCTGTGGTGCTGGGATTATTAGCCATGCACCACCATGCCTAGCCAGAATGGAAGTTTTCATCTGTTGAGTATTTTCCCTCCATCTTAACCAGAAGTTCACTGAATATGTACTACTACCACCCTGTCTGTGACCCTCGCTTCCCTTGTCTGGAATGGAATGGCTGGAAACACTGCCTTCAAAGAAGTATGAAGTAAGAAGTATTACAAGGGTTGGGAAAAGGCTCAGCTGTTAAGAGCACTTGCTGCTTATGCAGAGGACCCAGGTTCGGTTCCCAGCACCCACATGTCAGCACCCACAGCTTCCTCTAACTCCAGTTCCAGGAGGTTTGATTCCCTCTTCTGCTCCATGGGCTCCTAAATAAATGTGATGCACATATACTCACAAAGGTGCGCACACACACACGCACACACAAATACACACACACACACACACCCTGCACAAATAAATCAAATACAGGGAAGTGTAAGACTAGAAACTAGTTTGTTAGTGTAAACCGTTCAATCTTTATTTAAAAAAAAAAAGGTAGTGGGGGTGGTGTGGGGGAGGATAGAGAGCTGACTCAGCGGTTAAGAGCACTGACTGCTCTTCCAGAGGTCCTGAGTTCAAGTCCCAGCAACCACATGGTAGCTCACAACCATCTGTAATGGGATCTGATGCCCTCTTCTGGTGTGTCTGAAGACAGCTACAGTGTACTCATATAAAATAACTAAATAAATCTTTTTTAAAAAATCAGGGCTGGAGAGATGGCTCAGCGGTTAAGAGCACTGACTGCTCTTCTAGAGGTCTTGAGTTCAATTCCCAGCAACCACATGGTGACTCACAACCATCTCTAATGGGATCCGATGCCCTCTTCTAGTGTGTGTCTGAAGACAGGGACAGTGTACTCATATCAATAAAAAATAAATCTTTTTTTGTTTTGTTTTGTTTTTGTTTTTTGTTTTTTTGGAGACAGGGTTTCTCTGTGGAGTCCTGGCTGTCCTGGAACTCACTCTGTAGACCAGGTCGGCCTCAAACTCAGAAATCCACCTGCCTCTGCCTCCCAAGTGCTGGGATTAAAGGCATGCGCCACCACTGCCAGCTAAATAAATCTTTAAAAAGGATTCAGGTCTTAGCCATGATTGTTCTTTTCCTGAAAGTGGGCTTTGTTGACTCAGACACGTAATGCCAGCACTCTGGAGGCTGCAATGAGAGAACTGCAAGTTCAAGGCCACCCTGGGCTGTAGAGTGAGTTGTAGGCCAGCCTGAGCCACGCAGTGAAATCCAGTCTTGAGAGGGCTGAGGGTGTTCCAAGTGTGGTGGTGCACACTCATCTTTGGTCCCAGCACTCAGGATGTAGAGGCAGGTGGATGAGCTAGAGGATAGCCTGGGCTACAGAGTGAGTTAGAGGCCAACATGGGCTACAAAGGAAGGCATTGTCAAAAATAAAAATAAAGAAAAGAAAAAAAAGAATGTGACATTATTTGTCAACATATGTGTGTCCCATGGGGATTGAATCCAGGGCCCCAGGCATTCGTGGTAAGCCCTGTACCACCAAGTCATATCCTTATTGCAGAAAAACATAATTTAGCTGGATGTGATGACATAAATCTCTAGTCTTAGCTACTTAGGGGTCCAAGTAGAGGCAGAGGACCATCTGAGTCCAGAAGTTCAAAGCCAGCCCGGATAAAACAATGAGACACTGTCAAAAAGAAAACAAGAAAATGAAACAAAAAACCCACAACCAAACATTTGAACATAGGTATAACGGTGAGGAAACAACAACCCAGTAACTGGAGTGGGGGTGGGGAGAGATACAGAAAGAGGGAGCAGGAAGGAAAGATGCTCTACTGTAGGAATATGGTGGGTTCCTAAGTCATGGCTGGCTCAATTGAATGAGTAAGAAAAGTGGTAAGAGGTAAGGGCAAATATCCTTTTAAAAAAAAAAAAAAAGAGTTGTGGGGCTGGAGGGATGGCTCAGTGGTTAAGGGCACTGACTGCTCTTCCAGAGGTCCTGAGTTCAATTCCCAACAACCACATGGTGGCTCACAACCAGCTGTAATGGAGTCCAACGCCCTTTTCTGGTGTGTCTGAAGACATCATGACAGTGTACTCATATACATAAAATAAATAAATATTAAAAAGAAAAGACAGGATTTGTCTGTGTAGTCCTGGCTATCCTGGAACTCACTCTGTAGACCAGGCTAGTCTGGAACTCACAGAGATCCACATGCCTCTGCCTCCCAAGTGCTGGGATTAAAGACATGTCACTATTCCTCAGCTGAAAAAAAAATCTTTATAATTAAAAGAGGCAGGGTCTTTTCTGTGTCATCCTGGATGTTCTGGAACTCACTTTATAGATCAGGCTGCCCTCCAACTTAGACATCCTCCTGCCTCTGCCTCCCAAGTGCTAAAATGAAAGATGTGTGCTACCCTGCCTGGCCTGATATTTTTAATGACGGGTATATGTCTGCTTGTCTGTATGTACACTGTCTGCATGTGGTGACTGTGGAGGCCAGAAGACTCACGACCCCTGAAATTGGAGTTGAGTTTATTGTGAACCACTGGAGTGGGTGTTAAGGACAGAGCCTGGGTCCTCTGCAAGAACAGTAAGTATTCTTGAAGTCTGAGCTATCTTTCCTGCCCTGTTCCCTGACCACTTTTTATTTACTTATTTTTAAATTAGAATTTTATTTTTATTTTGTGTACACTACTGTTTTACTTGTATGTATGTCTGTCTGAGGATATCAGACCCTCTGAACTGAAGCCACAAGACAGTTGTGAGCTGCCATATGGGTGCTGGGAATTGAACCTGGTCCTCTGGAAGACCGGCCAGTCCTCTTAACCACTGAGCCATCACTCCAGCTGCCCCCCCCTTTTAATTTTTTTTTTTTAGATATTTCATATGTGAATATTTTGCCTGCATATATACGTTATGTGCCACATGAGGGCAGAGAAGGCACTAATTTCCCTAGAACGGGAGTTACAAATGGGTGTAAGCCATTGTGTGGATGCTGGGAATTGAACCTGGGTCATTTGCAAGGGCAACAAGTGCTCTTAACTACCGACTGAGCTGTCTCTCCAGCCATTGATTGACTGACTGACTGTAGCCAGGTTGGCCTGGAACTTGCTATGCAGCCAAAGATCTTGAACTTTTGATCTTCCTGCCTCCACCTCCCAAAAGCTTCAGGCCTGGTTCATGTGTTGCTGGGGCTCAGATCCAAGACTCCATGCATGGCAGAAAAGCAGTTTAGCTAAGCAGCGTCCCTGGCTCCCGTCTTTTTCCAGTCTGAGGATAGTGCCATTGAATGCAGGAGTGTGAGGAGGTGCTGAAGGGCTTTGAAAACAGTAACATACCTGCTCTCTCCTCTCCGACAGCTTCCCTTAAGTGCCATGGTCACACTATGCCACCTGCTTGTCGAAAGCATTTGCTTGGTTCTCGGTATAGTCATGGAGTTGGGTGACAATCGTCACACTCACACGTGCATGTTATAGTCTTGTTTGTTTTGGGAAAGGATCCATCATGACGTGTGTGATATGATACGTAATGTTTTGCACATTTCTCTCCCCACTTTACGGGTCACCTCTGCATCCTCCTAAACTCACCCTGAGCCTCCGGCAAGCGTTGATCTTTATAATCTAGGTATTGTCCCAATCCAGGCATGTCATATACATAGAATCACAAAATATGAGCTCTTTGGCATCTGGCTCTGTTCACATACTGTTATTACAACATCCTCAGGGTTCACCCATGCCATGATATGGTTAGCATTCCTTTTCTTTTTATGGCTAAGTAACAATAACATCGCAAGGTTATGCAACATCTTTTCATTTAAGTGGGCTAGATATTTAAGAAACTTTTATCTATTTATATTCTTGTTTGTTTGTTTTTCGAGACAGGGTTTTTCTGTAAAGCCCTGGCTGTCCTGGAACTCACTCTGTAGATCAGTCTGGCCTCGAACTTGCCTCTGCCTTCCGAGGGCTGGCATTGAAGCTATGCCCACCACGGCCCAACTTGCTTCATATATATATAATGATGTCTGATTTTGTCAACTTGACATAGCTAGGTAGAGGAAACTCTTTTTTTTCTTTTAAGATTTATTTATTTTATGTATTAGTACACTGTAGCTGTCTTCAGACACACCAGAAGAGGGCATTGAACTCCATTACAGATGGTTGTGAGCCACCATGTGGTTGCTGGGAATTGAACTCATGATCTCTGAAAGAGCAGCCAGTGCTCTTAACTGCTGAGCCACCTCTCCAGCCCCAGAGGGAACTCATATTTAAGACAATGACTTCATACGATTGGCCTGTTGGCAAGAGTGTAGAGCATTTTTCTTAATTAGTGATTAACTTGAGAGGTACCAGCTCACTGGAGATGGTGTTGGTTCTGGATCTTAGAAGAAATGAGTGAGCCAATAGGTAGCATTCCTCAGTGGCTTCTGCTTCAGTTCCTGCCTCCAGATTCTCCCTTGAGCTCCCGTCCTGACTTCTCTCAGTGATGGACTATTTGTTACCTGAGAGCGGAGAGATGAAAAATAAACTCTTTCCTCTCCAAGCTGCTTTTGGTCATGACATTTGCCTTAGAGTTTCATCACTGTGAAGAGACACCATGACCAAGGTGACTATTATAAAGGCAAACATTTAATTAGGGCTGACTTACAGTTTCAGAGCTTTAGTCCGTTATCATCATGGTGGGAAGCACAGCAGCATGCAGGCCTACTTGGGGCTGGAGGAGCCAAGAGTTCTACATCTTGATCATAAGGGACCAGAAGGGGACTGTCTTCTGCAGGCAGCTAGTAGGAGGCTCTAATTCCATACTGGGTGAGCTTGAGCAGAGACCTCGAAACCCACATCCACAGTGACACACTTCCAACAAGGCCGCACCTCCTAAAAGTGCTACTCCTCCTGTCCAACCATTCAAACACCAACCAA